TGGCAGCCAGAGCTGAGGACTGACCCGAGAAGGACCCAGCCTGTGGCCTTTTGCAGCTGCCTCTCCACTGCCACCTTATCAGATGGAATGAGACCTTGCCCAGGAGGGGCAACGAGCCCCTGGAGCTCCTCAGGGTCCAGCCCTCGGGGTGAAGGACAGAAACAGGGGTGCCCTGTCCCCTCCCTGGGGTGCCAGGAGGTGTCACCAGCCCGTGCCAGCAGCTGAGACATCGCAGCCCTCAGTGGTGCAGAGCCAGGAGCAGTTGGTGTTCGGGGACAGACCGAGGCTGGAGCCACTTCAGGCACCCACCAACTCCCCAGGAGGAGTCCTGGCACGATTCCCTGCTCCTTCTGGGCAGCTGTGACCCCAGCCGTGCCAAGGACCTGTGTTTGTTGCTGGTTATCCCTGCAGAGCTGAGCAGAGTCCTGTTCCCAGCTCCTGCTGCGCTCCCAGGGACACACGAGCCTCATTCCAAGACAGGGAGCTCCAGTGAGGAGCCTCATTCCAAGACAGGGAGCTCCAGAGAGGAGCCTCCTGACCTTTCAGCGCTGCCACTTGGAGGGGCATTGGAGAGGAGGAGGAGGAATCTGAGCTGCTCACTTTTAACAAAACAAACAGTGTCTGATGCTGCTCCCCCGGAGAGGTGACGATCCCTGAGGAAACGAATCCAAATGAATGCTCCCCCTGGAGCAGGGGTGGGATTTCAGACAGCCTTTTGTCACTGTGGGTTTCCCTTCCCAAGTCACCCAGGCATTTTCCAGCCATGACTGAGCCCCCAGCTGTTGTCTGACCAGAACATGCCCTTAATTGTGGCAGCTCAGCAGCTCTGGGGCTGCTTCGTGCAGCTGCCCGGCCCTGCCCTACCCAGACAGGGCTCTGTCCTGGAAAAGAAACCAGGAATTTCACAAGCTGTGGAATGTGTGTAATATCCACCGAGCACAAAGTCAGGTATGGGCTGTGCTGGCTGTGACTGGTCTCAGTGACAGAAGACAGGTAATTAAATAAGAATTAAGGTGCAGAAGGTAATAGGAACAGTTCTGCCTCGGGGGGGATTTCATGGGCTTTCCTGGAGAGCGGGAAAAAATCTCAGTTGGGAAAAGGTGAAATTCAGGCTGTGCCTCTGACCTGAAAGCAGCCTGGCTGGGCAGGGGGGGAGAGTTAAAGCCCCCAGGTTTTCTGCTTTGAACACCCTGCCCTGAACTTCCACGGGGGCTACACCTGTTCTCAGAGCATCCAACTAAAGACCAGCAATTCCATTTGTTTCATGTAGGGCACTTGATTTTATTCAAAGGGTGAGATACAAAAAAAGTAAGCAAAAAAAGGACAAAACCCAAAATTGTAAAACACTACAGACAAAAGTAAGACATCTTCTGCATACAGCACATGACAGGAAACACGGTACAGTCTGGTCCCCACAACCCAAAGCCAGCTGGAAATGTACAGAAGAGGCAGGGAGATCTACAAGGGAGGAGACGTGGGGTTTGCCACCAAAATGTCTATTTACAGAAACTGAATTGAAGGCAAAGAGTTTTCTTTCTTTCCTTTTTATGCAACCCAAACACTTCTTTGTTTCGTCTTCTTCCTGTTCCTGACGGAGAGGAGGGACTTCCATGCTTTGAGGCAAGTTTGGTACATTCAGGTAGGATCTAAAATCAGCCACAGCTAAACACTGACGTGCTACCCAAGCCCTGAACTTCAGTCCCTCCCTGCATCCAGCTCGGGCCACCAGGCACCTACTCCTGGCACCAGGGACTCCCAGGGACAGCTAGAGAGGGGGAAAGCCCAGTTCTGCACTTGGGGTGGTTTTGCTCACACCTTTAGGTGTTTCACTGTGCAGCTTAACCAAACCTGTGGGGCTGGGCTGGGCTTAAGGCTCTGAAATGAGGAATTCATGCCAGGTCTGTGAGCTCTGTCCCACGGGGCTGGGAGAGGGGCTGTGGGAAGCTTTTGGCTCTCTCAGTACAGGGGGGGTTGAGCCTGACCCAGTAAGGGTGTCCAGGCAGGATTTTGGACAGAAGGGCCCTCCAAGAGGAGATGGATCTGCCCTGTCTGTGCAGCACCTCACAAGGACAGGGACACCCAGACACTGCTCTGGAGAGCAGTGCTGACTGCTCTGACAAACCTGGGAAAGGGCTGTTCATGGCCCTTCTGCAGGGAAACCTTTCTGACATATATTCCATGTGCAGCCTAATTTCCATGTGTTTGTGTGTGTGTGTAATCTTCCTGTCAGCGTGGAATCTGTCTGGGACCCACTGGGCAGAAACAACGTGTGCTGCTGAGCTGGAAGTGCTCTGGTCTTTGGTAATTAAAACCCCCTAAGACCCACGGGCTTGTGCTCCCCTTTGAGGGGAGGAAAACACAGTTATTCACATCAAAATAAACTGTGACCAAAGGAAGAGGAGTAGGAGCTGCTACTCCAGATGGGAAGGCCTTTATCTGTATTTACCTGTGGCTCAATTTTAGAGACAGGGCTACTGAATTTTTTTTCAACACCTCAGTGAGGAAGGAGAGAATTTTACTGGCTCAGTAAGCAAAACATTCATTTGGGAGAGCAGAAGACTGACTGGCTGTTAATAAATACCACGAGACATTCTAAGAGTTTTCTAAGGAAAAGAGAAACATCATCTGTTCATCAAAATGCAACACGTGGAGAAAATGAGGTAAGGAAAGCTAAAAAGAGTCCTTTGTACATTCTCACTTCACACTGCATGGCAACGACAACAACAGCGAGATGCTGACCGGGTTCCCCTGCCATGCCCAGCAGGGAGGTTCTTCATACAGGTGAGCTCCAGAGCATCCAGGGAGATGGAGCCCTACAACATCCACAGCCCCGTGGCAAGGAGCTACTAAACCTCTGTTTTGGCAGGCCAAGAGCTGCACACACGGCAGGCAGTTTGCTGCAGGGGGGTGGGGTGGACACCACCTGCCCCCCCTGAGCCTCGGGAGTTCAGGGATTTGTCTGTCACGGCACAAACCCCATGAGCTCAGCACTATCTGTACAGCTACGCTGACGGGGGAGTGTCAGACTCAACATTTCCAACTCAGACTCCTGTTCTTTGGTCCTCTCTGTACACGACTTTCATAAATATTTAACAGCCTGCAACGACAAACTTTCACAGAACAGCAACTGGTATCTAACAGGGGGGTCTGGCCCCCCTTTGCTGGCAGACCTGGCAAGCTGGTGGGCTCTGTGCAAGGCAGGGGAAAAGCAAGGCCTGCTGCAATCAATCAGGGAAAGAGATCTGAAATCATCCTCTTGCAGGGTTGTTTCGCAGGAGATCCCAACCCAAGGACATAGGGTGGGACACTGCACCTCCCTGTGCTGGGGGGGATCCAGGGGGGAGCCCTGCCTGGATCCAGCCCCACCACAGGAAAGGCTTGCAGAGTTTCTCTTAAGCAAGTTGGGTGGGAGGAGGAGGAGGAGGAGGAGGAGGAGGAAGAGGAGTTGTCTTTCAACCAGTTAGCACTAAACATGCCTTGTTTCTTCCTCAAGGACAATTATCCTCTCCAACTGAAGCAGGGAGGGCTACTGGTCATGTCTAGGCAGAGGCTCAGCTGTCATGGGGCAGTGCCTCATACACAGCATCTGCTCAACTAAAATGCCATATTTACTACTTTGTTCTTAAACAGACACTGGCAGCACAATGTGTTCATAAATGAATAGCCTGAATATGACAGATTAATAAACAACATACACTGGTTTTGAGAAGCTGTTTCCAGGCACGCAGTTTTCACACTCATGATAAAACTGAGCCTTGAGCTGACGCTGAATTGAAGTGAAGCAATCACTGTGGGTTTCTCTGAAAGCAGAACTGCCTCAGAGCCTTTGGGAACACCTGGATCTGAGCAGTCATGGAGCAGCCTGGATGCCAGGGGACGCAGGACTTACAGTCCCCAACCACTGCACTTGCTAAAGCCGTTTCTCAGGGGCAGAGAGTGACCTGCAATATTCACTTGACACCTTGTAGCCTGGTTTTTCTTTCATGGTGCCTGCGTTAGGTTAATTCAAACCCCAACAAGATGGTGGGAAATTCACCTTTTTGCATTAGGAAATGCACAGCAACTGCCCTTTGAACAGGTCAGGTTTTAAGTCCTGAGGGCGTATTTTCCATGTCATTTTTCTGATTCTCTGCAAGCTGGTTACAAAACTGTTACCAGGGTGTTTATTTCTGTCGTGTCTATGGAGCCTTTTTATCCCCTTCAATTTTAAACCAGCTGAATGTGACACACAAAAACTGCTGCTAAATAAACCAGAGCCCCTGATGTCATTTGGGGACCCTGGCTAAGCAAGCCTCAGAAAGGAGCTTTAGTGCCCTCTCTGCTGGAGAGACACAAGGTAAAAATACAGAAATACATCCAGACCAGTGAGTGACCTGCAGCAAAAACACCTGCACAAAGCTGGGCCCTTCAGGTGCGTTACAGTCCCCCAGGGGGACTTGTGCTGAGTTTAAACTCCACTTGTTTAAAAAACACCCAGCCAAGAGCAACAGCAACAGCAGCACAAAGCCAGCACTGGTCACTGCTCCTCTGCCCCCCCAGTGCTCCCATCACACCCAGTGTCCCCCTGGGCACAGCAGCTCTGTGCTGGTGTCACACAGAGCTGTGGCCACCCAGCCCACACGAGATTGTCACTTGCTATGTTTTTTGGCATAGATAAAATCCTGCTGAAGCAAAGTTACTTCCTTGGCACATTCCCCACGTGCCCAGAATCGAGGAGGCCGTGACGGGGCAGTTGGAGTCCCTTCTGTACACGAGGCAGAAATTTACCCCAAAGGCTTGTTTACAGTTTCATCCCCTGGTAAAATATCTGCACAAGCATGACCAGCACCAGCTCTTGTTCCAGTTGTATACTCTGGTGTCCTGCTTCACTGCCTGAGAGCATGACAGGTGATTAATTCATTCAGTGTTTTCTCATCAATGACTGGAATGAGCCACACTGGGGCAGAGACAATGACATCAGCTCAAAGAAAAGTGGAGGGCCCCTTACCTACAAGTCTCAGTAATCTTTAAGAAAACCATTTAACATCTTTCATGGAAGTCTATTGTTCAAAAAAACCCAAAGCTATTATTGACATAGCATGTGGAATCAACTGGACAATCACTAATGTAATGGAATTATGGTGATCTTATACACAAACAATGATTTACCAAAATAAGATTTACCTAGGGGGCTTTAAAATCGAGTTATTTTGGTACCAAAAAAAGTCTTTCATTTAATTCCCCTTTGCCCCTATGATTCAGATGATCTTTCACTCTACAGTTACGGACTTGGCCAGATTTCTTGGAAAATCAACCTGCAGAGAGGGAGGAGAAAGAACAGGCTCGTGAGTATTTACACACTTTGTTTGTTTGTGTATAACTTTGTAACGTGTGGAACGTTTGCTCTGCTTTAAATTGAAAACAACTGAACACATTCTCATATTAATTTAGGACAATCAGTGCAGAAAAAATCCACCACCTTAATTGTTACGACTCCTCTGTCAAAAACCAAATGAGGTCACTGATAGCAGGTGGAGGCCAGTGTCTGTATTAAGACCAAGTACCTAACACCAACAGACTGTTTGCAAACGCCCTCCTGAGGATTGTTACCTCCCTGTGAGCTCCCTGCCAGCCCTCCAGAACCTGTGAGCTCCTACCAGAACAGACACTCAACTGCACCGACCCAGCCACGTGCACCGGGCTCCTCCCAGTTCTGCTCTGCCCTCCAACCTGGCCCTTCCAGCAGCTCAAGCAGTTCCACAGACAGCCCCCAGAGCCTTCCAGCCTCACCCAAGGCAGCTGTCCCAGCCCTGCAGGCAGCACACAGGAGAGCAGGAGGAAGGAGTGCTGTACTCACGTCGTATCCCCGGAGCACGGCGAGGTGGAAGGCCAGCAGCTGGAGGGGGATGACACTCAGGATCCCCTGCAGGCAGTCCACTGAGTGGGGAACCTTGATGGTTCTCTTGTTGTTCTTAATGGTCTCGATGTCTTCCTTGTCACAAATCACCACAGGTCGCCCCTGAGACAGAGGGAAATGCTGAAGCAAAGCAGGTCTGGAAGGTGCTTTTCTGGCTGTTCAGGGCATCAGCAGCAAAAGCTGATCACTTAACTGGGAACCCAACAGCTTCACATCCCCTGGGCAGCCCTGGAGGGTATTTCAGGGTTAACTGGACCACCCCAGGCTTCTGCAAGAACTGCTCTTGAAACGCCCACAAGATTTACTGGGCTCACACTTTGGGCAGTGACACTGAAGTGAACAGCCTGGGAAGTGCTTCTCTACGAAAAGCAGCATTTCTGACGCCCTGCAAACACTGCCAGGTCCTCACCTGCCGTGCAATGACCTGCTGGAGGGCGTTCTGGCACTTGGCATAGGTGTGGTCTCTCATGATGATCATGATAACGGGCATCAGCTTGTCCACCAGTGCCAGAGGACCGTGCTTCAGCTCCCCTGCCAGGATACCCTCCGAGTGCATGTAGGTGATCTCTTTAATTTTCTAGGTGGGGAAAATAAATTTAAAAAAAAAAAAAATCCGTAAAACTGTGAGCAAACTTGTGATTTTTTTTTTTTTTTACCATCTCTGTGGATTCTTCCACTTAGTAAGTTTTTAAAGCTTTGTGGCTCTCCTCAGATCCGACAGTCTCCTCAAATGTAAAAACTGCGATTTATGGGCTTGGAAAGTACACAGTCAGCTTTGGATGGTGAGTGTTTCTGGAAATCTCATCCCAACACATCCAAGACCTGGATTTATTAGGGTGCCCAGTCTGTCACAATAAAGCATTCCCAGTGTAAATGGGGAAAACACACCCTTTGTAGCCTGTGACATGGGAATCTTTAAGGAGCAGCCTCAGCATTGTTAGGGTGAGTTTTAGCTATTTATGATCACGGAATCATGGAATGGTTTGGCTGGAAGGGACCTTAAAGCCCATCCAGTCCCCCCAGGGACACCTCCCACTCTCCCAGGTTGCTCCAGCCTGGCCTTGGACAGTTCCAGGGATGGGGCAGCCACAGCTTCTCTGGGCACCCTGTGCCAGTGCCCTCCCTCTGAGCCAGCGTGTTGGCCACACACCAGAGCTGTCAGCTGCATTCACAACTCCTGCAGCCCCCTCTTCCTCCCTGCACTGAGATCCAGAGTCCAAAGCTAAGGGTGTTTGAGCCACCTCTGTAATAAGGAAATCTCTTACCAGAGCTCCCTCCAGGCATGTGGCGTAGTGGTAGCCCCGTCCCATGATGAGGACTGACTTCTGATGGTACAGCTCTGTGGCCAGCTTCTGGATCTCATCATCCATGCTCAGCACCTCTTTGATCAAGTCTAAAAGGAAGGAGGAGAATCCAAATTGTGTGTGCTCATAGCCTGTGTCTCAAACTACACACACTGCTCATCCCTCACAGGCACAGACAGCAGGGGTTTGCAAAGAGACTGAACTCCAGTGTTTCACTGGTCCAGTTTGGTGCTCTGGAGCCACCAGGGATAATGGGGCTGCACAAGGGACTGGGAACAGCCGCTCTGCACTCACTGATCAGGGTGGCTGCCCCAGGCCAGGTGTCCCCAAAGACTGCAGCAATCCCAGTCTGTACAAAGCCCAGACTGTCCAGCTGGGCCCTGGGGATGCCCTGGGTGAGCACAGCAAACCTGTCCTACCTGGCAGCCCCTTCAGCCCGCGCATGATCTCCTTGCGCCGCTCCTGCATGGAGATCCTGTCGTCACACATCATCAGGGCAAACATCACCAGGGACACAAACTGGCTGGTATAGGCCTGGGGGAAGGGGGGGAGAGAGAGGAAACGTGTCATTATGGCACCAACCAGGTAAAATCCTCGGGCCAGCTCTTGGCTTTATTCTTGACGTGGCACCAAGTGGCAGCTTTGGTTCCAGCTTAGTAGCGAGGATGAACACGAAACTCCCAGGGCAAAGCTCCTCTGAGGAGAGCTCCAGGGGAGGCACACAGTGATCTCCTCATACTCCAAGGACAGTCAGATGCCACAACCAAGGTTTTACATTCTGAGATTCTCTGATGACCACCAGACCCTGTTTTGTGACCACACTTTGTCCTTCTTCACTGCAGGGAAATGCTGAAAACACTGGAGATGGGCAGACCCCCTGCCTGGAGATGGACAGTGGGGGCCCATCACAACCAGCTGTAATTCCTTTGGACCTCAGTCAAGGGAAGTGATTTCCCACCTCCCCTCTTTAAGAGCAGATCCTGAACTCTTCACCTGGGTAAGGCTCCATCTGTGCCTACAGGGCCATGGTGTCACTGACTGTGGGGAAGAATCCCCTGCACAGGCAGTGAAATGCTCATACTGGGGCCATTCTATTCACAGAAACACACGAGGGACACTCTCAAACAGCTGCTGCACAATTTGCCCTCTGAAGTCCCTGCAACACAAACATTATGAAATGGGCTGTGGGGCCAGCCTGGGACTGAAGTCTCTTAGAAATAAGATTAAAGGCTTGTAGCATTTCTGCTCCCATTTCTAAGCAATGATCAAACAAACTTCCACATTGCTCTACTGGAGAGTTAAACAGCTCTGGAGGAATCCAGGAAGCTTTAGTTATGTTGACCAGAGTCTGCTGTGGAATGGGAGCTGCTCTGCTTTGCTGCAGCTGGAGGTCACAGGAGCCCACAGCACCAAGCAGCCACACTAACATGCTTGGGCTGTTTAGAATATTCTCAAAGTGAAGTTCTGGACAACCTGAGGGCAGAACATTTTCAAGTTCCTATTTCAAATATGCACAACTCTGCTAACTCCCCACACGAGCAGAGAAAAAAAATGCCATTTATCTCCCAAACTGCATGGTTGGCCATGTGAGAACAACAGGGACAAACAACCCGTTCAAGGGTTTCTTTTAAGAGACTCGTGAATTTTCCATGATCAAATTCCCCAATGAACTACTAAACTCAAATGTGGTTTTTGGCTGAATTTATGTAACAGATTGACATCATCTCGCCTCTAAATATAACTAAACCAAAGCAGATTTCACCATGCAGAAGCACTTCATCAAAAATGAAACACAGCAAAGCAAGTTATTTTGTACTGTAGCACACGTAGCCAGAATAATCCCGTTAGGTGGACACTGTTTTTTTGTGAAAGACCATTCCACCACTTGCCAAAAGTATAGTCTTAATATCAGAGTTTCTTTGGTAGAGCAGTGAGGGATTTAAAAGCAGACAAGCTTTCCATTACCTGGTCTTTCAATCTTTAGACTTGAGTTTAAACTGAGTGTGCACCTCAAGACAAATGATGGCAGAGAGAGAATTCTTGCCTCTTAGGAACCATCCCCTCTGAGACCCGCTTGTTTTCAGTGTTTAACACAGTTTCCTTGTAATAATGCTCCATTTTAAAAAAGAGACTGAAAGCTCTGCAAGCTACGGGAAAACCAGGAGTGTTGCTGGGCATGTCACCTGCAACCCCACAAACGATGGAGAGCAACGGGGGAGAAAAGGGACTGGGAAGCAGGGGAGCCAGGCGAGAGCCGAGCCCCTCAGCAGGGGCTGCAGTGACAGGAACAGCAAAGCCAGTGGGTGGAGGCTGGGCCTCACCTTGGTGCTGGCCACGCCGATCTCGGGGCCCGCGTTGATGTGCACGCCGCAGTCGGTCTCGCGGGAGATGGAGCTGCCCACGGTGTTGGTGATGCCCACGGTCAGGGCTCCCCTCTCCTTGCAGTACCGCAGGCACATCAGGGTGTCTGCTGTCTCCCCTGCAGGGACAGGAGGGAGGGGCTGGGTGCTGCTGCTGCTGCTGCATCCAGTCCCTTTCCCACCTTCTGAGAGGTCTGTGCCTCCTGCAGCAGCTCCTTCAGCCCCAGCGCTGTCTGGAGCCTGAACACACAACACCTAACAGGATTTGGGGCAGGGAAAGGTCAGTGTCCTCATGGGGTTCAAGGAGAAAAGGGACAAAAGGGGTATTTTCTTCAACAAACCCAACTTTATGCCTTTTTCTGGTTAATAAAAATTTACCCGGGGAAGGCGGGGGGTGAAGGAAAAATGTTTTAGGGATGCCTGGAGCTGCCCGTGAGCTGATCTCAGAGATGGGATAAGAACAGGTGTTGTGTATCCCTGCTAGTGCCACCAGTTTGCTTTAGTCCTAAAAGGACACACCCCTGAGTCCTGCACGTGTGAGGTGACAACAGAGAACAGAAACCCCAAAGTTAGTTCAGCTCCTCAGTGCCCAAACGTGCCCTGCTCACTGCTCCACTTACAGCAAGTCCTGCAGGGTGGGAATCTACGGCCAGAACCAGATTTACGGGGGAGGGGGATGAGTTCTTTGAGCTCAGTATTCACTTTGGGTTTGTGCTGCCTGATGAGCAAGCTCAGGTTCCAGGAAAATCTTTGTTAGGTTGCCATATCCACCACTTCAGGGGGAAGATGGAGCCCCTCGAGTGCCCTAAGGAGTGTTCCCTGTCAGACCATGAGCCCCCCAAAGAGGATAGTTCGAAACACTTGTTACTGAGAACAAAAAATTGCTACCAAAAGAGTATTTTAACCCTGTGGGGATAAAGCAGTGACCAGTTTCAGTGTCACGGCTGAAGATCAGTCATAAAAATCTGAAATAGTAAATGCAACTAAGAGGGAAAACCAATGTATTTTTGCATTGCAGTTTTCCTTGAAAATATGAATATGATACACGTCATATACTTTTTTTTTATGCTTCAGTGTGCCTTTTATCTTCTAATCCATTCCAAGATTGTTGTATTTTTTGATACTTGTGTCTAATAGTTTCATTTCTTCACTGTCTCCAATCCACCATATGGCAGCACTTTAACCAGAGAACCAAAACTATTCAGAAGAGCTGCCTTTCCCCAGGGCTCAGCAGCACGTTTCATCTGCTGACTGATGGAATATTTCCTCACAGAGAAAGGAAACAAAACCACTGTTACCACATGTGAACCCCAGCCACCCAAACCCTGCAGATGGACGGGAGCAGAACCGCTCTGGTTCTGCCCATCTCCAGTCCCCGTGGGCCAAGTTCTCCCCCTCACAAAGCACAGACGAGCGCCAGGCTTTGGCCCTGCTGCCTCTTCCCTCCCTCCCTGCTGTGCCCAGGCAGGAGGTGGTGCAGGGAGAGTGTACCTGACTGGCTGAGGAAGAAGCAGACGTCGTCTCTGAACACGGGAGTGTTCCTGTCCAGGAAGTCACTGGCGAGTTCCACCATAACAGGCAGCTCAGTCAGTTCTTCCAGCACCTGCCGGGTCTGGTAGGGGGGAGATGGCACATGTGACATCATGTTTATAAAATCAAGCGCCTGAGGCACAAAGAAGCCTTTCTAGTTGCCACACACGCTGGAAAATATGACTCTTGAAATCCCCAGTGAGGATCAGCGCTGGGTTGTGTTTTGATTACTCAGTAGGCCCACGCTCAAGTCACAGACTTGCCCCTGGTGAAGTGCCCTTGCCTTGGCAGCATCAACTCCTCCCTCACAGGGAGAGTGTTCTCAAGTCAGCCTCACTCATTATATAATGCTCAGGATGTATTATATAATGCAGGGTGCCCTTCTGTCAGGCTGCAACTCGATCTCAGAAACCAGCCCTGATATCCGGGCCGAGCCCGTGTCTGAATTCTCTTACAGGGCTCATCAGGAGGGACAAACATTTTCTCTTCTGGCCCTTGTCAGTCAGTTCCCATCGTTGTGCTCTGCAGCACTGCTGAGAGGAGGAAAGGATTCCTCTGGGAAGCTGTGAGCAGGTTTTGGTTTTTAAAGCCCTCCATAGTCACGAAAGCCACGGGCAATGTTTCCATAGGAATTCAGGTTCTTCAGCTTTTTTTCCTACTGCTGCTGCTGCGAACTGAAAGTCTGGTGTTTGCAGCTTTCACAAGGATCTTTATTTACCTGACTTGCTCCACCTTAACCTGAAATCAATCCTTAACCTGCCTGGTACACACCATGCACTCTCCAGGGAGACCTGAGAGCCCCTTCCAGGGCCTGAAGGGGTTCCAGGAGAGCTGGAGAGGGACTGGGGACCAGGGTCTGGTGACAGGACAAGGGGCAATGGCTTCAAACTGAAAGAGGGCAGACTGAGATTCAGTGTCAGAAAGGAATTCTTCCCTGTGAGGGTGGGCAGGCCCTGGCACAGGTTGCCCAGAGAAGCTGTGGCTGCCCCAGCCCTGGGAGTGTCCAAGGCCAGCTTGGATGGGGCTTGGAGCAACCTGGGCTGGTGGAAGGTGTCCCTGGGACTTGGATGGGCTTTAAGGCCCCTCCCAGCCCAGCCCTCGCTCACCGCCACGCCCGCGTGGTAACTCGTGCCACACGCGATGAGGATCAGACGCCGACACCTCTGAATCTCCTTGATGTGATCCTTCAGCCCACCCAGGTTCACTGCAAGAAGATGCAAAGAGAAAAATCAGGGTGGCCAGGTCGCCACCTGCATCAAACCACTCAGCAAACCAACCACCACAAAAAGATCTTGGCCACCAGCGCGTGGAATTCCAGAGGCCCCCCGTGACACACACACCATCTTACACCAGCAAGGCTTTCATCTCCCACGTCATCACCTACTTCCTCCACTGTAACTACTGTGAGGAACTGCTGCATACTGAGCTGTCAGAAAGGGGGGAGGCTCAATCTCAATTACCAGTGTAGTCATCGAAGTTGACCCTTCCTCTCATCGTATTGACGACGGATTCTGGCTGTTCAAATATTTCCTTCTGCATAAATGAGCTGAAGTTGCCTATGAAGAACAACAAAGGAAACAAATTAGAACACTTTACCTCCTGGTAACTTCAATTTTAAATTACCTCCTGGTAATTGAAATTTTTCCCGTGTTTATAGGGAGAAGCCTGGAGCAGAGTCACTAACAGGCCAGTTACCAGCCAGAGATTATTAAACTGACACTTCTTTTTCTGCCAAAGCATCAGCTCATCATTAGAGCTTGATTCCAGTTCCTAGAAGGTGTCAGTGAAGGGCCAGATCTGGAATGGCAAGTCTGCTAGGGATCAGTGTTGGAAAAAACGGATGGCTCCAAGCAGGAGATAAAATTCTCAGCCCCACAACTGTCCTCGTTATTGTGTTAACAGCAAGAGTGGAAAGTCCCAGCAGATGGAAGGGCTTTTTTCACCATGAGGGTACTAAAGCACAGGACCAGGTGCTCAGACAGGCTGTGGGACATCACAGAATACGCAGAGTTGGAAGGGACCCACAAGAATGACTGAGTCCAACTCCTGGCCCTACACAGAACCCTCCCCAGGTGCCCCACCGTGTGCCTGAGAGCGCTGACCAAACGCTTCTGTCCTTGGAGATGCTACAACCAGACTGAACACTCCGGTCTACTCGCTCCTGATTCAGGGATCCGTGTTTTCAGGGAGGGTCTGTGCCCCTGCACAGGGGACACCCAGGAGCTCTCACCCTTCATGATCTGCTGCAGCTCCATCTGCAGGGTCTGGACGGCCCGTCCCGGGTGGTCGCCGGCCGTGCGCTTGATGCGGTGGATGGACAGACGCCCGTCCACCACGGCCGCCACGTCGTCGTCCTCCAGGAAGATCACCCTGTTGGTGTGCTCGATGACGGCACTGGGGGAGGCACACAGCACTCACCATGAGACTCCCGCAGCCACGGGAGAGCTGCAGCCCTTTCCCAGCCCAACACACGGCTTCTGACTCCAGACAAGTTGCTCATTTCAAAGGAATTTCCCTTAAAATCGGACGAGTCCTGGGAAGTGCATTCCCACCCTGCCGGTGTAACTGGAGTTTTTCCACCCAGCTCGTTATTAATTTCAGCGCCTGCTTTAAGGAGCAGCTCTGCATCGCTCAGGCACAGCAGCGTGTGCAGCGATGGGATGTGGCCATCAGGAGCTGGGCAGTGGAGCCAGGACAGTTCTCTGCCTCGGCACACAGGCTGCTCAGCCAGAGGAGCAGGGTCCTCCCTCAGTTTTTTCCTCTGATAAGCCACTGTGGCTCCCTTTCCCCATCTGTAGAACTGGGGACAGCCCACTGAGAGCTGCTCAGAAGCACCCCAAGAATTAGATACTCTCAAAAGCCTCCCCTGCCTGCAGTTTACTTGAGGAGGGTCAGTACTGGCATTACCAGTGGGCTTTGACACCTGTGGCCAGGTTTTAGTCTGTGCTCTCTCAGCTGAGCTCAGATACAGCAGCTCCCTATTTTAATAGCTTTTGTCCTGACCTTGAGCAAGTCACTGAAAAGCTTTAAAACCAGAACACATCAGGGTGTCCTAAGACTCTCCAAAATTCCCTGATGAAAAGAGCTGCAGAAGTCAACCCCTGCAGGATTTTTACATTCCTGGAGCAAGCATTCATTTCCCTAATACAGAGAATCCCAAAAGCTCTGCTAAGGCTGCAGCCAAGTTAGTCTCTCCTCCCTCTGGGATTACAGTGAGACACCTTTGATGATGAAGGAATTGCACGTGTGTAGAGAATCAACACAATTTTCCTCATAATTAGCACCTGTCCTGTTAATTTAGGTCAGTACTCTCTCAGGTTTCCCATCACTAGGAAATCTTATCAACAGATGTGCCTGAAGAAGGGTAACACCACTGCTCCAAGGAGAGCATTCCTTCCTTGAACAGAAACTCTGGTTCTGTTAATATCTGTGAAGCAGTGGCCACAGACACATCATTTCTTTATTCACAGAGAAACCACAACCTCGCCATCTCTTGTTCAAGGCCTCACCTTTAAACAGCAGATTTTTATAGACATTAAAAGATGCTGAAGAACCTCACCTGGCATCAGAAGCAAAGTAATACTCCACAGCTTTCTCCTCCACGGGGAAGAGGCAGGTGGTGCTGTCGACACGGGACAGGTTGCAACTCCCCTTCTTGTCTTTCCCTGGAAGACACGAGGATCAGGAGCTGCCCACACGGGCACACTGAGCACAGCTCAGACCCACAGAGGCCCCAAGGCTCGGTACCAACATGAAGCACTTGTTTTGATCCCTGTGGGAGGTCACAGCGAATGGAGCAGTGACAGGACAGGGCAGCACAGCAGCACTCGCTGGTGGTGTGCCCGTTCTCAGTTTGCTTGCAAGGGGTTTCTGTCCTTTCCAATTAAATCTGCAAGTGCAGTGTTAGTGCAGGGCTTTAAGTGGAGAGGAAAATGTAAATAAAAACTCAAATGGAAGTTCTGTGTGGCTCCACCAGCAGAGAGTTCAAGCTGCTTCGTGAGCAGCCCCATTTACCCTCTTGAACCTGCCCTGTTTGTAATTCTGAGTGTCTCCCCTGCTCCTGCCTCACTGACTCTCCCGAGGCTCTCAGAAATGCAGCAGGATTGCTCTTTTTTGTCAGTTATTCTCAGCACTGGGGAAATTCTTTCAGAGCTGCCACCTGTGCAACCACAGTGCTCCAGAGAGCAGGGCAGATGTAACCCAACCCCAGCTCTGTCTGGCTGAGCTCAAGTGGTCAGACACAGCTCAGGAAATCCAGGATTAAGTGCTCAGCGCTGTTCCTGTGCTATCAAACACACCCACTTCACTCTGAGCCAAAAATGAGACCTGCTGTGGGTCCTGTGCTCTTGCCAGGAGGGATCCAGGTGTGCTGGAGGACACAGGACTGAGAGTCAGCTTCGGAAAAACTTGTGCTAAGCCTTGGAGAAATGCAGCAGGGATCCTTTCCGGAACACTCTGGCAATTCCCAGTACTCTCTCATCCTCCTCCTCAAAAAACACCTCTCAGTGGTGAAGCTCATCAGGAATTCAGATGAGGACCCAACACCTACTGCTCAGCACTGGCCTCCAGCAAAGTGGTTTGCCAGTCACTGTGCAGGGCATGGGAAGGGTGGGGGTGGATTAATCAGCTTATCTACCAAAACGTGGCTATTGCTGAAGAACAACAGCGCTGAAGTTACTCCATTCTGTATTTGTTCCATAATCCTGACGTTGTTTCACCTGCTGGACACTGATCTGACTCAGTGACGTCAGTGTAGCTCGTGGTGTTTGGATTTGTACTTCTGCAAATGAAAATGCAAAGCCAAAATACTGCTTTCATGTTGATACTCGGGAAGAAAGGTCCACTCAGCCAAGGATTTAGAGCCCTCCACTTAAATTATTAAGTCAGTAAAGGAGGAGAACAACATCTTGGTTGTCGAGCTGAGACAGGACAGGCTGATTTGGTGTTGAGACAGGACAGAGCAGAGCTGTTTGTTAGTGCCATTCCAGAGCTACTTGTTAGTGGCCATTCCCCAACAGAAGCACCCAGACCTGATCAAAACATGCAAATTTGGTTTCTCAAAACAGAACGTTTCCCTGCATTGACTTTATTATGTCGCATTGCTTTCCTGTATTCCAGATTCGACACTGAGCTGGAACTGGAACATGTTCTTACTGTGCACACACACGTGTGTGATTTCCAAGGAGGGGTTGGGAAGCTGCAGTATTATCAGTCAGCTGTGGTTATTATGTTATCTGTGGATTTGTACACAGATTGCCCATTTATCAACAGATAATCTGGATTGTTGCTCTCCAGCACCAACCCCCCATTTACTAGAATTGAGAAGCAACACAGAGGTTATCCTTTACTCCCTCATTCTTTCCCTTCTGAATCAGAAGTGGAGACACCACGGAGAATAAACACAGGTACAGCAAAAATGGGCAGGGGAGTCAGTTCTTCAGCCTCGCAGAAAAGGGCTCCCCTGCTTCAGATGTGAACTCACATCACATCTGATGGGCTGGCCTTTAAAAAAAGTACTTAAAGTGAATTAAAAATGGCTCACCCTGATAAATGGGCAGAGGGAAGGAAGTTCCAGCCTCAGGCCAACTTTAGTGCTTCGACCAGAGGCTGCAGTTCAGCCTCACACCACGGTCAGGGGGGAAGATGCAGCTCTGACAATCAGAATTCCAGAAGGAACTCTGGAGAATGCCTGCCTTAGGATTAGCAGCAGCCTCCTAGTTTAGTGGGCTTTATTTTCTAAGGTAATTGACTGTTTCCTCCTGCAGTCAGAGCTGCAGGAAACATGCACTGTCATCAATTTTGCACATATGCTGAGCATTATGTCCCAATATTTGAAATGGGATGGTGGGTGGATTTCCCTGTGTGTTGCTCATGGTGTTTCTGATCAAGAAGGAATTCTGGTTATCCCACTTGTTTCACTACCCTACATGGAAAGCAATAACCACATATTAAAGAGACAATGCATCTTTGTCTCATTTGTGATTCCTCTCCGAAGGAACTGGAGGATTTGTCTGAAATTTCCAGCATTAGCTTTTTTCTGGTAGGCAGCACCTTCCTCCATTTTTATGGATATTCCATCAAAAGAATGATCCATAGATTGTACAGCTGGAAGTGCAATTGGGGGAAAAAAAAACAAAAAAACAAAAAACAAACCAAACTTTAGACGGTCAGTAAATAAACACAGTGTTATATACACACATAAAGGATTACTGCTAATTATCCAACACAACCAAGAGGCAAAGCTGCTGGCACTGGTTCTGGCAGCAAGGGAGCAGCTACACCGTTAGGAAGCAGAAAGACACAGGACAACAGCTCCTTTGGGTCATTTCCTTTGGATCCCTGCACTGCTCAGAACACAAGTCCAGAGCCCGGGGACTGAACAGGTTCAGACCCTTCTGACAACAGCAAATTACAGGGTAATTGTCAGTCCCTTCTCGCTTGCAAGGTGTCTGTGGTGGCAAAGCACTCGTGGGGGACAAAGGCAGACAGACAACATAAATACAGATTAAATACAGACTGTCACACAAAGGGGGACAGCAGATGCTTCAGAATGCTGTTGGGGTTGAGGGAAAGGTTTGGGATCGTGCCAAGCCTCCAGCTCTGTCATTTTTGTTCTTGGAAACAGCCAGGTCCAGGAATGCCAACATGCCACACACAGAACATACCCCTGGGTATCTAAGTTTAACTGTACTGTTACCTGTACTACTCTGAACTATTCTAACATCCCTGGAAGTGCCCAAGGCCAGGCTGGACAGGGCTTGGAGCAACTTGGGATAGTGGAAGGTGTCCCTGCCCATGGCAGGGGGTGGAATGAGATGGGCCTTAAAGGTCCCTTGCAACCCAGACCATTCTGTGACCCTATGATTCCACTTTATTCTACTGAGATGTATTTCCCTTGCAAGCATTAAAGCCTTGATTATAAAATGGGAGGCTGACGTGAGGGATGCGGTGGCAGAGCAAGTGCTAAAAACTTAAAGAAACCGCTGACAATGGTCTAATTTACAATTCACAGATGAAGGTTTCGAAGTCCAATCTGCATCCCAGGGCACACAGGTGGCTGTGGGATCTGTGCCTGTGCCCTGGGTGTGGCAGGGCAGGGCAGGGCAGGGCAGGGTGCCACTCACCGGTGCGGTACAGGATGGGGATGTGGTCGGTGGAGAGCTTGTGCTCGCTGCGCACGCCGATGAGCAGGGGGCTGCCTCGCCTGCAGGACACAGCAGCACAGCCTCAGACACAGCCCAGCCCGGCACTGCTGCCCCCCAGCCCCCTCAGCCATGCTGAGGCACAGCCAGAGCCTCCCACAGACGCTGCAAACACGCGAGGACGCAGCACAGAGAGAACGATCTCGGAGCGGGCACGACACAGGGCTGGGAGCAATCTGTCTGGAGGCTGGAGACAACTCTGCAAGAGTCACTGCAGTCCCCCTGACACCTGAACCAGGAGCTGTTCCTCACTGCCCAGACCCACAAACAGGCACCAAAATTCAGCACCTGTGTAGGCTAAACCAGCCCAGCTGATGTTGGTGTGTTAAAGTCAGGCAGAAAACAGGGAGCTGGCCCAGCTTCCAGGTCAAATGGAGGAGCCACCCAAGTGCTGCCACGATGGCAAGCACCAAACAAAAGACAAAACCATCTCCTTTCAAATCACAACCAGAGTAGACCAAAAAAAAAAAAAAAAAAGGCTTTCTTTATCACAACCAGAGCAGGTGTGATACTGCTGGTTACCATTTTCAAAATATTTCTGCGAATTTTCTGTTATGGTAGATGGGAAACAAGAGAAGGGAAATTAAAAACAACAGCCACTCTCACCCCAGCGCATACAGTGTGATAAAAACCACCTCTACCACAACAACATTTACCTGGTACCGACTGCTTGCCCAGGATAATGAACACTCTTGAACACAAGGGCAAAAGCACCTTCCTGGAACAAAGAGAAACACAAACTCTTTATCCTTCCACGTGAGGCCTGGGCACCATTTCAGCATTCCCAGGACAGAAGCTGCTCCCATGTTTCTGGGGATGAGGAAGAGACACCAAACAGGCGGTTTCACAGATGTCTCCAGAACCACCTGTAGCTCCAGCCCCCTCACCCTGGAAGGATGTCCCATCCCTGAGCCCTGGCAGTGCATCCTCAACCATGGAATGACCTTCTGAGCCCCAGGGAGCCACTGCAGTCAGTCAGCCTTGGTTACCCACCCACACCCTCCTGCATCAGCTCAGAGCGCAGGGAGGGGGCCTACAAAGGCAAGAGAAGCACCAAAACTTTGGGGTGTTTGCTCAGAATGTACAGGTGAGCCAAAACCTGCCAGCAACACACGTTCTTGGCCTGTTGCTACAAGAGCTCCTGGCAGGGGAATCACTGAAAAACCCTCCTGAACGAGGTGCTCTGGGATGAGAGGTCAGCTGTGGTGCATCCTGTTCCTGCACATGACTGGGCACGGACTGACACGTGGAACCGTGGTGGAGCTCCCACAAGGGGTCAGCAGCTCTCCCAATCAGACCGAGGTTTCAGGAAGGACTGGAAGCACAGGCTCACTTCAACAGGATCTCTCCCAGGCCAGCTCCCACCTCCCACGCTCAGCCCCCCACGCACCAGGGACTGGCAGGCTCCAAGGGCTGCTGTGCCCCCAGACGCAGGCATTTCCCAGATGAGCACTGACTAACGGTAAAGAAACCCAAATGGATGTCCAGCCTGCCCTGGCACAGTGTCCGTGCTGCAGTGCCCGTGTGGGGGGTGTGCTGTGCCCTGCCAGCATTACCAGCTGCTGGATGACCCTCTCCACCAGGGTGGTGAAGCTGATGTCGTCGCTCTCGCGGTTGTCGTACATGTACTTGACCAGCTTGGCGATGCTCTCCGTGTCCGTCTCCGACTCGAAGTCGTAGCCTTTGCTCTCCTGCAGCGACAGCACGTGTTGGGTGACCAGCCCTCTGCCTTCCCCCCCCTTTCCCTCCTCCCTTTGGTCCTGCATTTTCAAATTTTCCTTCCTTTCTCCTACCTTTTCTTCTTGCTTTTCCTTTTTATCCCTCCCTTTGACCTTTCTGACCTTTTCCTCGTGACTTTCCTTCTCTTTGCTCCCACCTTCCCCATCTTTCCTTTTCCTTTTCCTTCCCTTTTTCTTGCCCTTCTTTCCTTTTCTGCCCACCCTTTTTCTCTCCTGCCTTTCCTTCTCCCTTGTTTTTTATCCTTCATACTGCAGTTGTCCTTCCTCTTTTCCCCATCTTTTTTTTGCATTCTTCCCTCTGCTTTTCCTCTTCCTTTTACTTTTCCGCCTTTCATTTTTTTTCCTTCTTTCTCTCCTCACTTCACATTTTCCTTTCATCCTCCTTTCCTGCCTTTTCAAACTGCAAGGATATGAGGAGGGGAGCACAGGGCAGGGAGTGGGAGTGAGGGCAGAGTGGAAGAGAGTGAGAGGAAAGGGGTGAGTGTGAGAACACGAGTGGGGGAGTGAGGAGGAGGGGGATGTGAGTGTGAGTGGGGAGGGGGAAGGAGTGAGTGGAATAATGAGGGGGTGTGAGAGAGGGAGTGTGAACAGAGAGAGTGGGAGAGTGGGAGCAGGGGTATGAGGGATCAAGGGGGGAATGTAAACTGGGGGGATGAGCACTATAGTGAGTGTGAGAACAGGAGTGGGGGAGTGAGGAGGGATGGGAGTGAGGGGATTAACTCAGGACTAGGAGAGTTACTGTGAGAGTCTATGGAGGAGGTGAGTGCAAATACAGGTGGGGGAACATGAATGGGGGAGAGTGAACCGGAGTGGGGGAGTGGCAGGAGTGGAAATGAGATCTAGGGAGTGTGGGGAGTGTGAATGTGAGTGGGGGAGCTCGAGTGGGAAAGTGAGTGTGAGAATACAGGTGGGGGAGTGAGTGGGAAGTGTGTGTGAGCAAAGGTGAGTGGGAAGGCACGGAGGGTGTTTCCCACACACACTCAGGGCTCACTCACCAGGAATTTCCGCAGGTCGTTGTAGTTGGTGATGATGCCGTTGTGGATGACAATGAACTCTGGGGACAGAGGAAAGGCCCTGCTCAGCCTCAGCACCAGCCCCAGCCTGGCAGCAGAGCCCACAAAACGTTACTGTGGGACAGGCACTTGGCAGAATAAAGCAGATTCCCGTCCTGCTGGGGTTCCCTGCTCTGCCCCGCTGGTGTGGCTGGGAATGGCACAGGATAACAGTGACCCGGGTGGGACCAGTCTCCCAAAATCCTGCAAAGCTTCTGGAGTCACTCAGGCACTTGGCAGCTTCCATTCTGCTGGGAGAAATTAAACTCCCTGCTGCTCCTGGGGCAGCTACACCCAACACGGCCCACGCTGTGACAGCCCCATGCACACCAACCCTTCTGTGCCGTGGGGATTAGGGGAAAACGGAAAGAAATGGGGGGAAAGAGCATACAAAATGCTGCTCCAAGGAACAGTCATCAGAGTTCTCACCACCCAGTTTCCTGCTGTCTTCACCTCCCCGCTCTGTGCCCACCCTCCCTGCAGGGAACACACCCCGTGGCTGAACACCCCATCCAACCCCAGCGGCTTCACCTCAGCCGGGCTCAGCACCACAGAACAAACCCCCTGCCGGGGTCCAGCCACCCCTCCAGGGCACAGGAGGTGGCAGGAAGCTCCTGCAGAGGCTCCAGGAGCCCCCTGGAGCGAGGGCCCCCCAGGCACTGACCGTTGTTCTTGTCGGAGCGCTGGGGGTGGCTGTTGATGGGGTTGGGCTCCCCGTGGGTGGCCCAGCGCGTGTGGGCGATGCCAAGGTGCACATCAAACTCGATGTCCAGGTCGATGTCCTGTTGCTCTGCAGCAGAAGGAGAAGGTTTTAGCCCTGAGGGGCTGCCCTTACACCCAAGGCAAGGTGGGAGCCTCCCCAGGCCTCCGGGGATCACAGGACAGGAATGGTGGTGGGGAAACAGAACCAGCAAATCCAACAGGACACGCAATCACAGGATGGTTGGGGCCGGAAAAGACCTTTAACATTATCAAGTCCTACCAAAACATCAAGGTGTTTCAAGGGATCCAGAATGGACACAAGCAATCACCCTGCATTCCTCACCTTGCCAAAACACAAAATAACCTTTAAGAAAGAATCCAACCTTGTTATCTCTCAGGATGCCCCTGTGACTTGTCAACTGTGACTGTGCCAGCCCACCTCAGGACTACACACCACTTACTGATTCATCCCTAACCCCTGCCTCTAGAAGATGTACCATTAGCAATAATATTTCTTCAGGAAAAAAAATACTCCTTTTTTTCCTCAAGTGTCTCCACAACCTCTTTAAAACTATGCTGCAACTTTTCTTGAGCAGACAAAGGTTTCCTCCTCCCTCTCTCTCCTGTTTCTGTACCACACCCCCCACCTCGTCTGGCCTTTCTGGCTCCTGGTTGACACCCAGAGGACCCCAACACCCCTCCCTCTGGGACACACCACACTCTGCCCCTGAGGTTAACACAAGAATGGGTTAAAGAGACCTGAATGACATCAACACAGCAGCTTTGGGATGTGAAGCAGAGATCCTGACTGCTCTGAACAGCACCTCCCCACCCTCACACAGCCCACCCGTGTCCCACTGTCTCTGTGTCCGTGTGTCTCTGCACTGAGCTCGGATTTACTGACCTTACCATTCAAATCCAGGGAACACAGAGAGGCACAAAGAGCTGCAGAACCCTCACTCCCTGGTCTCACAGTGGGACAGTTTCACACACCAGTGCTTTCCCAAAGCCACCTGCAGAGCCCATCACCCCCCAGATGGACAGACTGAGCTGGGACGAGCGTCACATGTGAACAGTTAAAATCCAGCTGGTGAATTACTGAGCATTTCTCCTTTCTGCTCAAGCTCTAGGTCCTGATAATTATCTCTCATCTTAAGGACTGGTTTTGTTTGGGGGATTTTAGGTCCCTTTTAAAACATATTTCAGGTCTGACTGATTTGTCAGGGTGTGACTGATTTGTCTCGAGAAATCAGGACTACTCTGTACCTTCCCCCCAACATGCACAGGGTCACTGGGTGGGTGGTCACAGCACAAGGGTGAGTGTTTGCACCCCTGGCTCTACACACAGGGGTTACTCAGAAATGCAGTGTTTGTGGGTAAAGCAGGTGATATCCAAAACACAAAGGAGGTGAGAGGGCAGCTCAAGGGAAGAGGGCAGGCAAAGGAGGAAGGGCAGACACTTACTGTGAACCTCTTCATCCAGGGCCTTCACTTTGCCCTTCTGCTTGATAATATGGATTTTGCAGGCATTGGCTTCCCAGTCCTTGTCGTTTCCACCATCCAGTCCCACACCTAAGCCCCACCATGGAACACGGAGAAAGAGAGTGAAGTGCAGAAGTTATTACAGTATTTGAGGTAAACAAATACTGCCCTTTTTTCAGTGCCCTCTCTCCCTCCACATACAGGCAAGAAACCCCTTAGAGTAGAACTAAGTTTTCCTTTTGTCAGCCTTGCCAGTATTTTTAAAGCCTGAGGAGAAAAAAAAAAAGGCATCAAGAATGTTTATAGAAATCTGTGTATTGAAAGTTAATCCAAACCTCAACCACCCGCTCACAGGCACGTCCACTTTGTGCTTCAGTTTTCTTCAACAGCAAAAACAGCAGAAACCATTCACAATTACACCACGAAACCCTTCATTTACAAGCCAAAATCCAAAAAAAAAAGAGGCAGGGCTGTTGAAGAGAGAGGTACCTGCAGAGTCATAGCCCCTGTACTCCAGCCGCTGCAGCCCCTTGATGAGGGTCTCCAGGATCTCCCTCCTCGTCCGGGGCACATGGTAGTTCAGGTAAGCAAAGATCCCTGTTTGGGGAAAAGAGAACAGTCTTACCACGAACCCACAGCTGAGGAAGCTCTGGATGTGCCAGCTCCTTTGCATGTGCACTGAGTTAAAACTCAAACAGGCTTCGTACCAAGAACTCTCTGCTGGGAGTTTTCACCGGCACGTTTTTGCGGCCCCACGGAGATGTCACTAACATTTACCAGGCCCCAAATACCCACAAAACACCCTCATCCCTCTCCTGACTCTGAAAGCATCTAAGCAGGACAAGCCTGGGGGTGATGGGAGGAATCATTTCCCCGGGAGCTGGACCTACACAATAGGATGAGCTGCCAGGGGACAGAAAACTCCTCCCTGCAGGTGAAAAAGTCAGGGTTCACTAACACAGAGCTCTGCATGCTAAAGAAACATCCTCCAAAAGAATTCCTCCTTCAGTGGCTTTCTTCAAGTTCCTCCCACAAATTCACTGAGAAAAACATAATTTCACTCCTGCAAACGAACACCCCCAAACTAATGGAGCTCCTTTTCCTGTGGGTTGCAGAGGAAGATGAATTGTTGCTTCTATTTTAAGCAGTGATGGGGACACACAAATTCCTCCATCTCTAACGCCAACCCTGGCTCCAGCTCAGAACCGTTTCCTTTGGAGCCACCATGAAGCAGTAGGAGGAGAAGACATTTACTGGGTGCCAGAAATATCCATCCTCAAAACCTCCAGTTTCACC